TAATAGAATCAGGGACATAGAAAGGGAATGGACTGACTATTCTTGGAGGGGAGAAAGGGATGTGGGGGGTGCTGGAAGAGATTGGACAATAATCTTGCACCTATGGATGAGGACAGTGGGTGGGGAGTGAGGGCGGAGGGTGGGGTGGGAACTGGGTGGAGGGGAGTTATGGTGGGAAAACAGAGGAACTAATGTAATAATCTGAACAATAAAGATTTAATTTAAAAATAAAAATAAAATAAAATAAAAAGTACCAAACAGAAATAAATAAATAAATAAATAAATAAATACTAACCAAAAAAAAGAATGGGTACTAATAATGACCAAATATGTCAAAAGTTTATAGAACTTATTTAATGCTGTGAGTTTTGGAGAGTATATGACTTAATTTGCAACAGGCTTACATGTACCAGTTAGTTACACTAATAGGATTTCTTTTCAGTGTAGTGTTCAAGCTACTTTGAAAGTATTTGTTAAAATTTTAAAGTTTGTTTTAATTGTCAATTATACAGTGTACATTCTCACATGGTATTGTAGGGATATGAGGCAACATGAAGGTTTTCCTACATTTTTACATTCAATACAATTCTCCACTTTGAGTTTTTTTATGACCTTTCCAAGCAAAAGGGACAGCTGAAGAATTTCCCATCTTTGCTATAAGTGTACACTATTTCTACAGGTGCATTTTCACATGTCCAGGAAAGGTTCTCCTACATTCCTTATGTTCATACACTTATTGCTGTGTGTGAGTCCCTTCATGGCCAAAGGCTCTTTTATCATCTTTACATGACAGGGCTTCTCTTCAGTGAGTTCTTTCATCCTTCAAATTAAATTGGAGGAAACGAATGCTTTCTAACCCTCTTACATTTCTAGGTTCCATCCCCAATATGGATTATCATACATGATGGTACAGCTGAGAGATAAGTGAACCAGGATCGAACCCGAGACCCTTCAGTCCACAGGCCGATGCTCTATCCACTGAGCAAAACTGGCTAGAGCACCAGTATGAGTTCTTACATGACATCGAAGGGAAGCTGGATAAGAGAAAGCTTTGCCACAATGCTTACATTCATAGGGTTTTTCCCCAGTATGAGTTCTTTCATGATTTCTAAGGTAATAGGGATAAAGGAAACTTTTACCACATTCCTTACATTCATGAGACTTCTTTCCATGATGAGTTATTTTATGTTCTCTAAGACATTTGGCAGAGAAAAAGGCTTTCTCACATTGCTTACATTCATAGGGTTTCTCCCCAGTATGCATCCTTTCATGATTTCTAAGAGAAGTGGAATGTCTGAATGCTTTCCCACATTGCTTACATTCATAGGGTTTCTCCCCAGTATGCATTTTTTCATGATGTCTAAGAGATGTGGAAAAATTAAAAGTCTTACCACATTGCTGACATTCATAGGGCTTTTCTCCACATTGTGTTCTTTCATGTTCTCGAGAGTACTTGCGACTATGGAAGGCTTTGCCACAATGCATACATTCATAGGGTTTTTCCCCGGTATGAGTTCTTTCATGATCTTGGAGGGGAGCTGGATAAGAGAAAGCTTTGCCACAATGCTTACATTTATAGGGTTTCTCCCCAGTATGAGTTCTTTCATGACATTGGAGGTAAGTGGGATAAGAGAAAGCTTTGCCACAATGCTTACATTTATAGGGTTTCTCCCCAGAATGAGTTCTTTCATGACGTTGGAGGTAAGTGGGATAAGAGAACGCTTTGCCACAATGCTTACATTTATAGGGTTTATCCCCAGTATGAATTCTTTCATGACGTCGGAGGGAAGTTCGACGAGAGAAATCTTTATCACAATGCTTACATTCATAGGGTTTCAACCCAGTATGAATTCTTTCATGATCTCGAAAGTAATAGGGATCATAGAATGTTTTACCACATTCCTTACATTCATGAGGCTTCATTCCTTCATGACTTTTTTTATGTTTTCCAAGAGAGCTGAGCCTACTGAAGACTTTCCCACATTGCTTACATTCATAGGGTTTTTCCCCGGTATGAGTTGTTTTATGATTTTGGAGGGAAGTTGAATACGAGAAAACTTTACCACAAAGCTTACATTCATATGGTTTTTCCCCGGTATGAGTTCTTTCATGACGATGGAGGGAAACTACATAAGAAAAAGCTTTGCAACAAAGCTTACATTTATAGGGTTTTTCCCCAGTATGAATTCTTTCATGACGTTGGAGGGAAGTTCGATGAGAGAAATCTTTACCACAATGCTTACATTCATAGGGTTTTGATCCAGTATGAGTTCTTTCATGATCTTTAAGGGAACAGCGTTCATGGAATGTTTTACCACATTCCTTACATTCATGAGGCTTCTTTCCATCATGACTTCTTTTATGTTTTCCAAGAGAGCTGAGCCAACTGAAGACTTTTCCACATTGCTTACATTCATAAGGTTTCTCGCCAGTATGTGTTCTTTCATGATTTCTAAGATAACTGGAACTGAAACTTTTACCAGATTTCTTACATTGATAGGACTTTTCTCTAGTGTGTGTTCTTTCATTTTCTTGAGAATACTTGGGAGAACTGATAGCTTTGCTACATTGTTTACTTTGATATAGTTTCTCTCCATTATGAGTGTTTTTGTGAATTATAAAGTAAATGAGATGACTAAAGTCTTTGCCACATTGCTTACACTCATATGGTTTCCCACCAATATGTGATCTTTCATGATTTCTAAGAGAAGTTGAATAGTGGAAAGCTTTCCCACATACCTTACATTCATAGGTCTTTTCTCCACTGGGTCTCCCTTCATGTCTTTGAATTTGTTGGTGATGCTTGAAAGCTTTCTCAGGTTCCTTACATTTATAAGCGTTTTCTTCATATTCCTGACACAGGTATAGTTTGCGCCCAATGGGAGAGCTCAGGTGGTTATTAAAGGATAAATAACGCATGAAGACTTGACTACACAACCTGGATTTAGGTTGTTTTATTTCAGTAGGAGTTTTCCTCTTCTCATTATGATTTGGAATCTGGCTGAAGTTTCCTCTGCATTGACAACCATCCTTCCATTTACAGAGATTCTCTACCATATGACTGCTGTAAAAATCAGAAGCATATTATTATTATTTTTTAAATATATTTTATTGATTTTTTACAGAGAGGAAGGGAGAGTGATAGAGAGTTAGAAACATCGATGAGAGAGAAACATCAATCAGCTGCCTCCTGCACACTCCCCACTGGGGACGTGCCCACAACCAAGGTACATGCCCTTGACCAGAATCGAACCTGGGACCCTTGAGTCCTCAGGCTGACGCTCTATCCACTGAGCCAAACCGGTCAGGGCCAGAAGCATATTATTAATACTCTGTTAATGATTTAATATTTATTAATAATATGACAATGACATATTTACCATTTTAAAGGAAAGTGCGGGGTTTCTGTACATTCTTATTATTTGAAAGTGGATATCCTAAAGCCTCTGAAATAGGTTGGATCATAGACATTATGAAAACACTTATATTCATTAATGGTACTTCTGTATACTGTTTCCAAGTGTAATTGTTTTTTATACACTACACATCTAGTTCATATTTCAGAAAAAACATTTTGATGAGATTATTCTAAGAATCAATACATTTAAAGCTGGGCTGATATAATTGGATTGCCTATTTTTAAGATTCTTTTGTGGACCGGATCCACATGGCTCAGTTGTTCAGTATGGACCCATGCACCAGGGGGGTTTCCAGCTCAATTCCCTGACAGGGAACATGGCCAGGTTGCAGGCTTATTAACCCCAGTACAGGATATGCAGGAGGCAGTCAATTCATGTTTCTATCTCTCCCTCTCACCTTCACACTCTAAAATCAATAAAAACATATTTTCACACCACCAGCATGCCTCAGTAGTTGAGGTTTGACCCATGAACCAGGAGGTCATGGTTCGATTCACGGTCAGGGCAAGTGCCCAGATTGTGGGCTTGAATCTGAGTGTGGGATGAGCAGGAGGCAGCTGATCAATAATTCTCTCTCATCATTGATGTTTCTCTCTTTTTGTCCTGCTCCCTATCTCTGTGAAATAAATAAAATAAATGTTTAAAAAAATAAATGAATAAAATACATATATAAAAACATATTTTCCAGCCGAAACCAGTTTGGCTCAGTGGATAGAGCGTCGGCCTGCAGACTGAAAGGTCCCAGGTTCGATTCCGGTCAAGGGCATGTACCTTGGTTGTGGGCACATCCCCAGTAGGAGATGTGCAGGAGGCAGCTGATCGATGTTTCTCTCTCATCGATGTTTCTAACTCTCTATCTCTCTCCCTTCCTCTCTGTAAAAAAAAAATCAATAAAAATATATTTTAAAAAACACATATTTTCCAAAAAACAGATTCTCTTATGAGACATTGCTTTCTCATGTCAATGTCACTTACCTAAGATTCATCCCATGATTTTCATACTGATCTTCAATGTCATGGCCTTCACATTTTTCTTCTAAAATACATGCTAGAAAAAGCATTATAAACTATTAAGGAATATGAAAAATGGTTAGATTTTTAGGTACACAATGAGCTGTGATCATTCCTAGTTTAATTACCAATGTACCCTCTTTCATACTTCAGTTCTTGAAACAGCACTGATGAGCAAGCAACACCAGTTTTCTAATTGACTAAATAAGTAAAAAGTTGTTGCTGCCCAGTGTAGCTCACTGATTGACCATCAACCTATGTGAACAAGGAATTCATGGGTCAATTCCCAGTAGGCCTGGTTTGTAGGCTATATCAGTGATTTTTCCTCATCATTAAGTTTTTTCTCTCTCTCCCTCTCCCTCTCTAAAATCAATAAAAATATATTAAAAAACAAAGAATTTGTCATAACGACCTACTGATGCCAGGTTCCAGAAGGTTTCCAGCATCACATCTGTGTAGAGTTTCTTCTGGGTCAGATTCAGGAAAGCCCACTCCTCCATGGTGAACTCCACATTAACATCCTCAAAGGCCACTGAGTCCTAAAACATCCCACATATGCATATAGGAGAATGGTTATGACAGCACTGGTGACCTATACATAATTCATAAGAAGTTCACATAGGACACATGGTCCCCAACATTCAGTCTATGACTTGATTGTAAGACTATCAAAACTATTTACTTGCCACACTCACATCCCCATGAATACATGGAATTTATTGATATGATTTTATTGTAATAACTTCAAGTCTTCATTGCTCTCTAATGTCAGGGTGAAGAGCATCTTGAACAACTTCTATATTAATAAATTAAAATATTTCTATGTTAAGTCCATTGATTCTTTGTGAGAAACTTCATCTCCTTTATAATCACCATTTGATGCAGCAGTCCAAGACACACACTGTCATATCTGCATAATGTTTTAATGACTATGAATACAATAAAGGCCTGGTAGCTTTCTATTCTCACCACCAAACAGGAGAGGCCAGGCGGTGTGTGGAAATTCAACTTGGAATAAAATGTACTTGGCCATATTGTCCTGAAGTGATCCAGATTCTTAGAAGTAGTCAGATACACCTGAATGAATGAAAATATTCTTGTGGAGGAGTATGAATGATCATTTATTTTTATATTATTTGTTAGTAACTCAGTTTGACCTTCTTTTGCCTCTCTCATTTCATGGAGGTAGGACATTAGAGTTAAAGCTTAGGCATGAGCAAGACAGGACAATTTGGCCCTCTACAAAGTCCTCTACTCATGAGCCTGAGGGTTACTTCATACTGGTTTTTAGGACACATAGACACGTATATTGAAATCATAAGATCACACACAAAGAAGTCTTTCTGGTAGAATTTAACACTGTAACTGGGGCCTGGATCTTGAGGAACAATTTAGGACTTAGCATGGAAGGGGCCTTTATTGAAATCCTCAATATATTCATGTAGAAATGGCACATGATTACAAAATACATAAGGGGTTAGGGGGTTACTGAAAATATCAGGTGGACAACACTGTAAAATTTATCTAAACACTATGTTCTACATCTGAAACATACAAAATAAATTAAATGTAAACTGTAATTGCAATGTATATACTGTAAGTGGAACACTATATATGTACACTATATATGTTGATTATGAATAAGAAAAATTAATGTTACTAAATTGTCCATACTACCTAAAGAAATCTATAGATTGAATGCAATTTCTATCAAGTTACTAATGGTGTATTTCACATAATTAAAACAAATATTCAAAAATTTTATATGGAAACACAAAACACCCTGAATAGCAACAGCAATCTTGAGAAAGAAGAACAATGTGGATGAATCACACTACCTAATACCCAACTATACTACAAGGCCATAGTAATCAAAACAGCATGGTCCTGGCATAAAAATAGCATATAAATCAGTGGCATGGGACAGAGAGGCCAGAAATAAAGCCAAGCCTTTATGGTGAAGGAATAATTGACACAGGAGGCCAGAATATATAACAAAAGTAGTATATTCAATAAATGATGGGACTAATCAAACTAAAAGGAAATCATCAATAAAATAAAGACAGACAACTAAATGGGAGAACACATTCATCAATGAAACATCTGAAAAAGGGTTCCTACCCAAAATTATAAAGAATTTATACAACTAAACAACAAAACAAAAGATCATGTGTTCCGTTTCAGGTCAGGGCACTTGCCCCAGTTTGTGTTTGATTCCCAATTGGGGTATGAATGGGAGTCAACCAATAGATGCCCCCCCAACCCCCCAGACACAGCTTCCTATCTCTCTAAAATCAATAAAAAACATACCTGCTGGTGAGGAATTAAAAACATGAAATAAAAGAAAGCAAAGAAGCCAGCATATGTGTGTGTATATGTATATGTATATGTATATGTGTGTGTGTGTGTGTGTGTGTGTGTGTGTATATATATACACACACATACATACACACACTAATAAAAGGGTAATATGCTAATTAGACTGGGAGACTGCTGAACATCTTCCTACCATCCGACTTCCTTCCAGACAAAGCCACGGTGGTGGGGGCCGAGGCAGAGGCAGTTAGGAGCGATCAGGCTAGCAGGGGAGGGCAGTTGGGGGCCATGAGGCCGACAGGGGAGGGCAGTTGGGGGCCATCAGGCCAGCAGGGGAGCGGTTAAGTGATGATCAAGCAGGTAGGCAGACAAGTGGTTAGGAGTCAGTGGTCCTGGATTGTGAGAGGGATGTCCCGAATTGAAGAGGGCGCAGGCCGGGCTGAGGGACCCCCCTCCCATGTACAAATTTCGTGCAATGGGCCTCTAGTATATACATAAAGAGCCAGGGTCGGTAACGTCCAAAGCGACAGAAGGGACGACTGAATGCCAGGCTGTGCACACAGCAGGCTCGGGTGGGCAGGGACTGGCGAGTGGGCTGAACTGCTGACCTCTTGGAGACAGGGAGAGGCGGACATGATCAGCAGCTGCCATGGCTGCTGGCGAAGCCTGGAGAGAGAAACAGGGTCTGATCCGCAGCCTCCGTGGCAGCTGTAGATTAGCCCTTGCTTCTTTCTCTCTCCGGGCTTCGCCAGCAGCCCCGCCTCTCTTTCTCTCCAAGAGGTCAGCAGTTCAGCCCACTCACCAGCAGCCTGGGGCAGCTGCTGATCAGCCCTGCCTCTCTGATCAGGCCTGGAGATAGGCCCAGAGACACTGACTGGCATAGAAACTGACCAAGCAGAACCAAATCTGGGTGAAGTGCCAGGAGCCAATGGCTGCCTAGGAGGCGGAGCTTTTGACACTGACTGGCATAGAAACTGACCAATCAGAACCTAATCTGGGTGAACTGCGAAGGCAGAACCTAAGGTGGGGGCTGAGGAGGGGTTTTCATGGCAACAGCTGTTTAGTGTAAGGTGTAAGAAAGCGGTTCAATTTTTTATTGACTGGTTTGGCAGTATAGTGCATATGGATGGCTTTCAGGCCAGATATAGGGATTATGTATTTTTGTCTGCCAAGAGCATCTCCTCCTGCTGAAAAAGGCTTCCCCCCCATTTAAACAATCCTATCCTATATAATCTATCTATACTAATAAAAGGGTAATATGCTAATTAGACCGGGTCAACCAGCCATCTTCCAGATGTCTGACTTCCTTCCAGACAAAGCCATGGTGGTGGGGGCCGAGGCAGAGGCAGTTAGGGGTGATCAGGACGGCATGGGAGGGCAGTTGGGGGTGAGATCAGGCAGGCAGGGGAGGGCAGTTGGGGGCAATTAGGCCTACAGGGGAGAGCAGTTACAGGCGAGATCAGGCCAGCAGGGGAGGGCAGTTGGGGGCAAGATCAGGCTGGCAGGGGAGGACCGTTGGGGGCAAGATCAAGCCAGCAGGGGAGGGCAGTTGGGGGCGACTAGGCCAGCAGGGAGGGCAGTTGGGGTGCGAGATGGGGCCTGCAGGGGAGGGCAGTTAGGGCAGATCAGGCAGTCAGGCAGAGGCTGTTAGGGTGATCAGGTAGGCAGTCAGAGTGGTTAGTGGTGATCAGGCAGGCAGGTAGGTGAGCGTTTAGGAGCCAGCAGTCCCAGATTGCGAGACGGATGTCTGACTGCCGGTTTAGGCCCGATCCCTGTGAGATCGGGCCTAAACTGGCAGTCGGACATCCCCCCTGGGGTCTCCGATTGGAGAGGGTGCAGGCTGGGCTGGGGGAACCCCCCCACCTGCACAAATTTCGTTCACCAGGCCACTAGTATATATATAAAATGGGTAAAGACCTGAATAGATACTTCCAGAAAGAGGACATACGGATGGCCAATACACATATGAAAAGATGCTCCCTATCACTAATCATCATAGAAATGCAAATTAAAACCACACTGAAAAATCACCTCACACCTGCCAGAATGTCTATCATCAATAAAGGCAGAAATGACAAGTGTCAGTATGAAGTTTCCTCAAAATTTAAAAATACAACTGGCTCATGACCTATCGATTTCACTTCTGGGAATATACCAAAGAAACTCAAAACACTAATTCAAAAGAAAATACACACCCCTGCATTCATTTAGCATTATTTACAACTAGAGGCCCAGTGCACGAATTCGTGCACATTGAAAGGAAATTAATTAGAAGAAATATTTTAGAGACTGAGAGGGACTGCAGAAGGCCTCCAGGACGTGTCTGGCCATCTTGCCCAGTCCCAATCGGCCAGACCCCAGCAGGAAGCTAACCTACTGGTCGGAGCGTCTGCCCTTGATGGTCAGTGTGCATAATAGCGACTGGTCGAGTGGTCACCCAAACGGTCGGATACTTAGCATATTAGGCTTTTATATATATAGATAGCCCAGATTTGGAAGAAGCTCAAGTGCCCATCAGTAGGCGAGTGGGTGAAAAAAGCCGTGGTATAACTCAATTGAATATTACTCAGCTGTAAAGATGAAGAAAATCTTACCCTCTGTGACAGCACGGATGGACCTGGAGACCATTATGCTAAGTCAATAAGCCAGTAAGAAAAAGACAAATACCTCATGATTTCATTTACACGTGGAATCTAAGGAAGAAAAGAAGCTAACAAAGTATAAAAAGATTCATAGATACAGAAAACAGACTGATAGCTGTCAGAGGCGAGGGGCGCTTTGAGGAAACTGGAGAGGGGTGGCGGGGTCACCCCAGGTGCAGAGCCTAGGTGTTGGGAGACTGGATGAAAAAAGGGGGAGGAATTAAGCAAAACAAACAAACTCTTAGACTCTGACAACAGCATGGGGATTACCAGAGGGAAAGGGGGGTGAAGGGGGGTGTGCAGAGGTAGAAGCGGGGAAAGGGGAGGATTACATGGTGATGGAAGGAGACTTTGGGTGGGGAACACACAACACAATGTACACATGATGTATTATACAATTGTACACATGAAACATAATTTTATTAGCCAATGTCATCCCAATACGTTAAAGAAGTTTTGTTTTTTTCCAATTTAAAAACATAAAACTTAAAAAAGTGATTTTTTTCCAAAAACTTGATGCTACTCTAGGGGCACTTCTCCCAACTGGTCTCATTTCTGAGCTCTCCTGTGAGTTCCAGCAG